GCATTAAATTCAGATTTCATAGCACTCAACCAATCTGGACTAGATAAGGCTTGTTTAACTGTTGAAGGTTCTGTATGGGTAAGAAGAACAAGGTTCCTAGCTGCTGTTTTGGAGCGAGTTATGATGGACTGAGGTGAAGAGGGAGTGTAAGACTTAGGTGGTACATAGTCCGAGGTAGAAGAAGACTGTTTGGAGGATGGAGAGGAGCTGTTGACACTAGAGGAGGGTGAACTGAGAGGTGCAACAGCAAGGTCAAAATGATCTTCAGAAAAGGGGAGAGGTGCAATGGCAGTAGCAGTTAGTGGGGAAATGTAGACTTCAGTGGCATCAGCAGGTATTGGAGAGGATGTAGTGGGCATGCGAACTAGGGAAGTGGGTAAAATATTAGTTGGTGAAGGAGATGCAGTAGGCTGAACAGATTGAGTATGCTGTGAGTTGCTAGACAGAACAGAAAGTGGAACAGAAAAAGGAGAGGTTGGAGGGAGAGGTGGAGTGACGTGATGCCAAGTAGAATAGGGAAATATGTATTCATTAAATAGGACATCTTTTGAAATGTAAATTCTGCCATCAGGATTAAGGCAGTAATACCCTTTATGATTTGTTGAATATCCCAGAAAAACACATTCTTTGGATCGAAAATCCAGTTTGTGCTTATTGTAAGGTCTTAAACAAGGAAAACAGGCACAACCAAAGATCTTTAAAAAGGTGTAGTTAGGGGCTTGTTTGAGTAGCTTTACATGAGGGACTTCAAATTGGATTGAGGCTGATGGGATATATGTTTCAGCGCGTACATATAGCAATTTGTCATATATGTTTATCGAATGAAAGTGTACATGTGGATGAAAGGATACATATATAATGAATTGTTTCAAAAAAACTGCAATTTCCCAAACCTATTCAACGACAATAGAAAGAATTAACTCAGTTTCCGATTATTCATCTTGGTGAAATATTTTTTTGCTGGAACTGAAGATCAAAGCGTTGTAACGATAAACAAAGGATGAGAGAGAGGTGATTTTCAAACTTAGAGAGAGAAAGAGGTGTGCAAATCTCAAACCTAGGGAGAGAGACAGAGAGGGGATGAGAGAGTAAAAATTAGGATTTAAGGGATAATTATGAACCGTTTGATTTAATTTTAATCTAACAATGACGAGATTGGTTGTAAGTAGGGGTGTTAACGGGCCGAGCCGAGCCGAGCTTTGGTCTTAAAAGGCTAAGCCTTTGTTTAAATGTGTCAGCCTGACCAAGCCTGTTACCTATTATAAATATAATTATTGGCCTGTGACCTGACTTATTTACAAAAAATAAAAGCCTGATTTAGCCTGTTAGCCTATTTAAAAAAAATAAGACAACAAAAATTTAAACAAACATAACATACAATCAACAACACTAGTAATTCCATAAATATTCATAAATTCAATATATATCCAAACAACATAATATAGAACAAAATCATTTAAAAAGTCTATTTAACCAATAAAATGGAGTGAAATGAATTGAGGAGAAATAGAGGACTATTACAAGTAGTATAAAATATATAAAATAAAAATAAAAAGTAATATACTAGGCCAGCCTGGGAAGCTCTAAGACCGAGCTTTTGAATTGGAGCCTGATGCCTTTTTATTAAACGAGCTTTTATACAAGTTCAAGCCTGGTGCCAACAACTAATTTTAGACATGCAAGCTCAAGCCTTCACGAGCCGAGCCAAAGACCCCTAGCTTGTTTAGCACCCTTAGTTGTAAGTATAACCGTCCCCTATATATATATATATATATATATATATATATATATATATATATATATATTTGAACATCTTACCCCTAATAGTATCGATATTTTGAATCTGCAAATAAATATTTTAATACATATACGTATGTATGCTACATAGATTTTTACTTTGGTCCAATCTTTTTGAAAGGTCAACTCCTCAACCAAGTATTGAAGAGACTATTAATTAAGGGTGTTTAAAATGTCCAAAAGAACCAAACCGATCCATAACCAAACTGCTCCACATTTTAAAAATCGATTATTTGTAAAAATCGGTTTCATATGAAACTGCATTTTATTTTATAAACTGATTATTTACCAAACCATAAAAATAATTAGTTATCCATGGTTATCCATAACCAAACTGCTTTACAATTAAAGAACAAATAAGTATTATTTTTTATCATGCCTATTATATTAGTCAATTGACTCAAACTTTCAAACAATAAACTAGCAAAAAAAAGTTAAGCAGCTCAAGTAGAAAATATTTTTATTTAAAAAAAAAATGTACACATAAATCGAAAAGTTGCATCATAAGAAAGCACTTCTTACGTAACGTAACAACTTTTTTACCCAAAAAAAAAAATGACAAAGGAGAAGGCTCGAATCATGTAGAGAAATTTAGAGTCTGCCATGGTGCATCAGCATATTTCAACATTCTCAAAATTATCACTTTATAGAACTTAAAATAACTCTTTATGTACGCTACAATTTTTTCATACTCACAGTGGAAAATCATCGAAAGACCCATTGCAAACTTATCTTTGGACCCATTGCAAACTTATCTTTGGGTAAATACAGAAAATTTCATTCTCAATGCACTATCCAGAATTATCAACCTTATAGTGGGCATTCATGTACAAAAGTCCCATTTTTCCTGCATGAATAAAAGCACATATTGGCTTATTACAAAAAATTTAACAGCAACTAATTCCAAAACAACGAAGATTCTCTCAAGAAATAGTTGATCGACTACCTATAACCGGGAGAAACAAATGACTACTTATAAAAATAGCACAATCCATCAAAAACCGATTTTGAATTTGTTAAAAAACCGATTTTGAACTTGATAACCAGCTTATGGTTCATAATCAGTTTTGATTTAAAACCGGTTTTGAATTAAAACCAGTTTAAAACCGATTTTAAATCAAAACCGGTTATAAACCATAAACCGATTTTGGAACCAGTTTCAAACCGGTTTAGAAAATTAAAAACTGGTTTTAAAAAAAGAAATCCGGTTCAGTTTGAAAACCAAACCATTTAAAACCAGTTCGATTCGGTTTTTGTTAAAACCGGTGTTGCGATCGATCGTTCCAAGTAATAAAAGGGTAAGTAGAGTATCGTCTCCACGAGGATTGAGGCACCGAATTTATTATAACTATTCCTCTCTTTGTTGGATTAATAAAATTGAATTGAGAATAATTGTAATTGGTGAAAATTTAAAACAATTTTCAAGAAACTGAGAATAATTCAAAGATTCTTTAGAATTTCAGAAACGAGATACTAAAGGTTGAGAAAATATGTAAAAGAATATTGCGGTAAAAGACGCCAACACCTTTATGATCCCCACCTTTGAATTAACATTTACATTTAATTTATTCATTGATCAAACAATTTACCATCTTTTAATTGATTAGTTAAGCCCTAATTCCTTAGTGATCTTAACTTTATTAACCCTATTAGAATCCTAATCCCTTAGAAATTCCTTTTCAAGTTAAGCTTTTAAATCAGTGAATCTTTCACGTTTGCAATTCATGTAGCCTATCCCTAGTGCGTACATGAATTGTTATTTTACCCTTTGTCAGGAACTAGAATCTTAATATTCTTATTGAAAACCTAACCCTCGCAATCCTAATAGAGTGATCGGTTCTAAAAGAATTATAAGATGAAGAACAAGATAACATAAATGAAATTGGAATAATTAAATATAAAAATTAGCCAAACTACAAGAGGTTCACATTAAGGGTTGTGACCCTTACCACAATAATAAAAGACTAGCCAGACATGTTCATGTCTGACAATTCAAAGTATAGAAAAGAATTCATAAAATAGAATAATAACCAGAAGAATGGGAAGAAGAAATCTTTAATCTTCAGTCACCAAGAGCTTGCTCCGATTTCTGTTGTTCGTAATTTCTCCCGTGCAAAAGTTGTCTCTTCTTTAGGATTTCTGACTCCTTTTTATAACCAGCAATTCAATCAGATCATAATCTTTCGAGAGATTTGATTTTTCTTTCCGTTTCTTTCCAAATTTGCAATCAGGATGCTAAAATCATGACGCCCGCGCGATCAGCGCCAGATTCGCGTGATTCGCGCTGGCAAGCAGTAGAGCACAAAGTGCTTGGCGCGAGTAGCGTGGAAATCATCATGAACATGGCGCGACTAGCGTGGCCATTGGCTTCACATGGCGCGGCTAGCGTGGCTTTCACGCCATTCGCGTGAAGAAGCAGTGGATCAATTGAAAAAGTCACGCCATTAGCATGAAAGGGCCATGCTCTTCTTCCTCGATTTTATTTTCTGCTTTTCCTTAAAAAAAACAAAAAATTAGAGTGAAAGTGTGACTGAAGATGGATTATCAATAATTTCTCAAAAACAATAACTTTATTACTGAATTACTGTAAAATCCTTAATCTTTTTTACTCTGAAATATCTATATGCCGAAGGCACATCAACCGGTTATGAACCGCTCCATGCACACCCCTACTATTAATTACAAAAGGAGAACTAATTAATATTTGACGTACAATGTGAAAGTCATGTGGGCTCAACGAATTGTTTTGTTAGAGCTATTTCCAGTCATTTTCTAGGAAGCTAACTAAGCCTTAAAGCGAGAACATGACATATATATAAGGGTATTTAATTTAATTAATGCTCTTCTTGCACCGTTTATGATAAGGAATTTTGACTCCTTATATATTCGGATATATTCAAATTGGAAAAATCTCCTTAATTAATACCCTGTGAACTGGCATGGCAACTTGCTAGCAACCATGGGAGAATTAGTCACAATTGTACCTCGTTGCAGCGGATATTAGTGACTATGACTAATTCTCACACAACCAAATATATGTCCTATAAATTGATGAGCATTCAGAGCTCTATCTCCATCATCTTCATATAATCATAGTCATTCTCTTTCTTGTTAATAATTCTTCCTTTCTGACGCCTCTTAAGTTAATTACAAGTATATTCAATTAGTTGTAATTAATCTTCGAAGCAACACATACGATATTCATGGCTTATAGAACTTCAAGTATAGCTAGTTTTGCTGTCACATTGGTGCTGCTGTTAGGGACAATATGTGATGCACAATTGTCATCTACATTTTATGAGGGTACATGTCCGAATGCACTTAGCACCATAAGAACTGTTATTCGTACTGCAATATCTAAGGAACGCCGTATGGCTGCATCTCTCATTCGCCTTCATTTTCATGATTGCTTTGTTCAGGTACATTATTTTTGACTCATTAATGATTTTATTAATCTTAACTAAGACATTGTTAATTTTGTAGCTAGAATCATAAACAATTGTGTATTGACTTGCAGGGTTGTGATGCATCAATTTTGCTTGATGATAGCTCCTCTATCGAGAGTGAAAAGACTGCACTTCCTAATAATAACTCAATAAGGGGATATGGCATCATTGATCAAGCTAAAGCTGAGGTTGAGAAGGTGTGCCCTGAAGTTGTGTCATGTGCAGATATTGTAGCAGTAGCAGCACGTGATGCATCGTTCGCTGTAAGTTTGCTTAGTATATGCATATGCTTGATAAAAAAAAACCACTCCCCGTTAAACCTGACTAATGAGTATCTGATGGAGGAAATTCTTATATGTTATATTACTTTTACATAATTGCAAAAAGAATATTTCCTGAATTCGAACCCATGACCTTTCAGTCATGATATATTTGGTAGTTATAACTTAATTAGATGCATGAAAATTAAATCATATATAGTAATTAATTAATGACTCATGCATTTTATTTTATTTTTGTTGATCAGGTGGGTGGTCCATCATGGACTGTGAAGCTTGGACGGAGAGATTCTTCCACTGCAAGCAAAAGTTTGGCTAATAGTGACCTTCCACTTTTCACAGATGATCTTCAAACTCTTATCTCTCGTTTCAATAACAAAGGGCTCAGTGCCAGAGAAATGGTTACCCTATCTGGTAATTTATTAATCATATAATTGCTAGCATCCTTGATCATGCATGCCTCACAAGTTTTAAAAACATATGTTATTTTATGTATTTGTAAACCTTTAATTTACCACCAAACACGTGGATCAACCGGTAAATGATTGTTCCAGCTTAACCACTTTGCAGGAAATGCAAATATTTTGTGTTAAGACAATTGAAGCAAATATTTTGTGTTATGATATGCAGGTGCACACACAATAGGACAAGCTCAATGCTTCACATTTCGTGGTAGGATATACAACAATGGAAGTGACATAGATGCTGGATTTGCTAGCACTCGCCAACGTGGCTGTCCATCCCTTAGCAACCCTGGTAATGATAAGAAGTTGGCAGCACTAGACTTGGTCACGCCTAGTTCTTTTGACAACAACTACTTCAAGAATTTAATTCAGAAGAAGGGTCTTCTTCAATCAGATCAAGTTCTGTTCAGTGGAGGATCTACTGATACTATTGTGTCCGAATATAGCAAAAATCCTACAACCTTTAAGTCGGACTTTGCAGCTGCTATGATAAAGATGGGAGATATTGAACCGTTAACAGGGTCGGCTGGCATGATAAGAAAGATTTGCAGCTCTATAAACTAAGTTAAATTGCCATTATAGCCTCACTGTCTATTCTCTTCAACGGGTTGATTAATTGTATTCTTATTAATTCATTCAATTGTATGTAGTCTCTGTTTCCTTGATCAAGGAATTGTCACGCTGGTTTTTTTATTTTATCAATAAATGTAAATTCTTTTAAAAAAAAATATAAGTTGTCACATTATATTAGCTGAAAAACACAAACATGCATGAGCAAAATAAAAGATACCTTATTAGAGATATGCATAGAACATATGAGATTATACAATAAAAAAACCAGCCGGAAACACTATGCTAGTGAATGGTAAATTGATAACTTCTTTTGTGTGTGCCCTTTTCATGGAATATTTGGTGGACGTAGCTGCCATGAGAAGCGATGTGTACTTTTTAATGGGGTACTGTTTCAGAAGTAGTTGCTATGGAATGTTTTATCCTATCTCCTTCAACAGCTGAATTTGTTTTATCCTATCTGATTTGGAGGAAAGAACAGGAAATACAATCAACGGTTGAATTTTTTTTTGGAAAGAAATCTGCCATGTAATGTCCTTCTACACTAACAACTAAGCCAGATGCTATATATGCTAACTTATGCTGTGCTTCTTTTGTTGCCAAATACGTCCAATCCCATCGAACTCTGCACATGATCAAGCATAAAATTGATCAGACAGACACCTATCATATAGCACAATGTAGTTGGTTCTGTTAATAGTTAAACTATTTTTTGAGGACGGGATAACGTTACTTATATTAAGTCAGATGGCACAACCAAAAATAAAAAATAAAAAATCTTTTAGTAATTAAAGTTCTAATAAGGCTTTGTTTTACTTGTGTAATGGTACCTTTTGCCAGAGTTCTCCAAATAACATGTTATAGGGATATAAAATAAAAATTATTGATAGATTTTCGCTTCACAATTTAAAATTTTAGTTAGGTGGGATGTCATATCATGATCATCTAAACAATATCGGAATTTTTTAAATGGTTGTCAAGGACTATTCAAACAAATCATGGTCCCTCTCACATCAAATGATTATTTTATCCCTGATTTTTTTTTTTATCAAAATCCCAATTTTAACTCGTTATATATAACATAAGGGCCAGGTGGTCCTGGACCATGGAAAGAGATCTCAAACAATATAAATGATGCTCATAACTCAATGGTTCTATAAGTTTTGAAGGGGACGATTATATGACTAAAACTCATAAGTAATAATTATATCTAAAAGCTTGTATAACCTTGAAAGGGGCGATTTCTCCTGTTATTAACCCCTCCCTCTCTCCACAACTGCCTCCACATGTTTGCCATATATATACTTGAGCATCTTTAGCTTGCCAAGTTTAACAGCCCTGAAAAGAAAGGTTTCACCTGACTCATTTATGAGCCCAACTAGTGGTCATTGCTTTCCTTCTAGTACCTTTGGTGGTACTTGACTCATTTAGCAGATTGTTCTCAAACTTGAATTAGAAGATGATCTCATGGAGAAAGGTGTTATTCACACAATTCCCCTTTCTCAATGCATGTTGCCTATCCATTTCAGGTAGCGTTTCTAGCAATTCCATGAAGAGCTGTGGATTCTCAGAGCGAGTTTCAATGTGAATGGCAGTGTTTCCGAATAAGTCAAAAGGCTCTAGCAAAAACTTACCTATTTTTACTCCTAGCAGCTCTTTGAGCTCTTATAGTTTCCTCATTAAATATAGAGATTTCTCCCTCTGTACATTCTATAATGACCATATCTGGTAAATCATAATTAGAGATTTAATTTAGGATTTAAATGTCATAATTAGATTCAGATGATGATTTCGAGTGTTTTGATTGTAATCATGACTAGGTCATGAACAGTGCATTCTGCCGGATATTCTGCAGTGTTTTGAATCAACCGGTAGAGCTTAGAATGAGCAAATGAGTTTAGAGGCCTAATTTGGCAATTTTGATGCCAAATATGAGTTCAGAATGAAAATTGTATAGTCTGGCACTTTTCGTGATAATTGTTACCAGTATTTTCGTATTAGTTTCCTGTGTATTAGTTTGTTAGTTAGTTAGCCACGTGGCTCTGACGTGTATTAGTTTGTTATTAAGTTAAGTCTTTTGGTTTGTTAGTTAGTTAGACATGTTTTCTATCATCTTGTATTCTAGCTGAAGTATATAATGTATATTTTTAGTTCATTTCATGATTCATTGAATTCAATACATCAGATAGCATATTTTTCAGATCATGATTCTCTCTTTCGGATTCTTAAGCTCCTTGGGTTTTGATATAGTATCAGAGCTCTGAAGGGAGCTCTGGTATCGTCTTTCAGTTTTCTTTTCGTTTTTCCTCTGTTTTTCTCCATTGATTCTCTCGAGGTTCTTCTGAAGAATGACGAACCAAGGTTCCCTTCCAGATTACCTAACGAACCCGTCGAATCCTCTTCACTTGCACTCTAGCGAGAATCCTTCGTTGATTCTTGTATCTCCGCCTCTGAATGGCAAGAATTTTCATTCTTGGCAACGATCTATGAAGATGGCGTTGCGGTCCAAAAATAAGATCACCTTTGTTGATGGAACATTCAAGATTCCAAAGAGCAGTGACTCAACCTTCGCAGCATGGGAGCGCTGCAACATGATGGTGTTATCGTGGATACATCATTCAATAGAACCATCGATTGCTAAGTCAATCATGTGGATAGACAAGGCACATGAGGTCTGGAATGATCTCAATGGACGTTTTTCTCAGACTGACGTTTTCAAAATTGGAGATCTTCTTGAAGATATTCATCGTCTCAACCAAGGAGAATGCACTGTAAGTGATTTTTATACTCAGCTAAAGACACTTTGGGATGAGTTGGAGAATATCTAACCATTGCCAGATTGTACATGTGATGCTGCTGAAAAATTAAAGGATCATTATGAAAGGAACCGAGTGATAAGGTTCTTGAAAGGTCTAAATGACCAATTCTCTCACGTTCGATCTCAAATAATGATGATGGATCCTATGCCAAACTTAAACAAGGCATTCTCTCTGGTCATCCAACAAGAACGGCAAATGAACTTTGAATCTGGTTCTGGCACAATCATGGAAACGAAAGCGTATACTGCTAATCAGCAAAGACCAAGGAATTTCAATTCAACTGGATTCAGAGGTGGAAGAGGAAGAGGATCGAAATTGTGTACTCACTATGGGCGCACGAATCACACGGTGGAGACCTGCTAAGCAAAACATGGCTATCTACCAGGATTCAAAAATAAATATGCATCAGCTTCCGTAAATGCAGCAGATGTTAATTCTGGCAAAGAAATTGGCACGAATGATAAAGCTGGAACAGTAACAATTAGTCAGGGAGAGTACCAGAACCTCATTGATCTATTTCAACAGTCAAAGATTGAATCTTCAAATGACAATACTGAAGCTCACAATGCACATATAGTGCAAACTACACAAGGAATGGCTTTCAATGTTGGTAATGGTAAGATCTCTAATAACTGGATTGTAGACACAGGTGCTAGTGATCACATGTCTTCAATCCTTTCACAATTTTCTTCTATTAAGAAAATCGATCCAGTAACAATTATGCTCCCTAATGGACAAAAGGTGACTGCACAATTCTCAGGCACAATGATCATTTCTAATTCTTTGAAATTAATTGATGTACTGTATGTTCCTGTATTTCGTGTGAACTTAATATCAGTGGCATAATTGTTGAAATCCTCACAGTATAAACTCACTTTTCGTGACTTCATGCTATATAAAACATATCTCTTCCAACCGAGTGATTGGTTCAGCTAAGCTTGAAAAGGGACTCTTCATGTTGTCAGCTGAAGGACCAGTTGAACACAACAAGGAAGACGTTAGTGCTTTGACAAATAATGTGGCTGATATCTTAAATGAAGCAAGATACAATGCTGTCATAGATTCATCTCTTTTATGGCATTTTCGATTAGGCCATATTTCTGATTCTGTTATGGTAGATATGCATAGCAAGTTACCTTTTATCCATTGTAATAAAGGAGGATCTCCTTGTGATATATGTCATTTGGCTAAACAACGTCAACTCCCTTATCATACTAGTAATAGTGTATCACACAAGGCTTTTGCTTTGATTCACACTGATATATGGGGGCCATTCTCGGTTCCATCAATAAATGAAGATAGATACTTCTTGACCATTGTAGATGACTTTTCCAAATTTACATGGATTATTCTTATGCAGAATAAAGGAGAAACCAGAAACCATTTACGTAATTTCTTCACCATGGTAGAGAATCAGTTTGATACATCCATTAAAATCCTTCGAAGTGATAATGGGATAGAGTTTATGATGAATGATTTCTATGCCAGCAAAGGGATAATTCACCAGACATCATGTGTTCAATGCCCTCAACAGAACGATGTAGTTGAAAGAAAACACCAACATATATTAAATGTAGCAAGAGCATTGATGTTTCAGGCTAAACTTCCTATTAAACTCTGGTCATATTGTACTATGCATGCTGTGCATATGATCAACCGAGTAATTAGTCCTACACTCTCTGGAAAAACTCCATATGAAGTTCTTTATGGCTCTCCTCCATGTCTTACACACTTAAAGGTATTTGGATGTCTATGTTTTGCTAGTACTTTGGCATCTGGACGCACCAAATTTCTTCCACGAGCTCGCAAATGTGTATTTCTAGGTTTCAAACCTGGCACTAAAGGATATGTTATGCTTGATCTGGTTTCTCACCAAATTTTTGTGTCACGGAATGCTGTCTTCTATGAGCAACACTTTCCCTATATTACACCTCCAAATGCTACAACTTCTGTCCCATCTGATATTAACCAAACTCATGAAAGAATTGATGATTTCTCTCCCACAATATTCACACCCGAGTTACCCTTTCCTTCACCTAATTCCCAACAATGTGAATTACCAGCTCCTACTGCATCATCTGAACCTGAACCCGAGCCTGAAATCATTCCCTCACATCCTCGTCGTTCTCATAGACCACGAAGAAGTCCCACATATCTCCATGATTTTCATTGCAACTCAGCCAGTAAAACCCCTTATCCAATACAATCTGTGGTCAACTATGACTCTTGTCCTGCTTCACATTCTGCCTTATGTTTTCACCTGAATTCTATCCATGAACCTGGTACCTACTCAGAAGCTGTGCAACAAGCATGTTGGCGAGATGCAATGCTGACTGAAATAAAAGCTCTAGAACAGACACGCACTTGGACTATCACTGATCTTCCACCAGGCAAGCATGCCATTGGATGTAAATGGGTTTTCAAAACCAAGCTTCGAGCTGATGGAACTGTTGAACGCCATAAGACAAGACTGGTTGCAAAGGGTTATACCCAGCTTGAGGGAGTCGATTATATGGACACTTTTTCTCCAGTAGCTAAGATAGCTACCATCCGAATTCTTCTTAGTATTGCCACTGCAAGGGGCTGGCATCTTGAACAACTTGACGTCAATAATGCTTTTCTACATGGAGAATTACATGAAGAAGTATATATGAAGCTGCCTCCAGGTGTTGAGTCTCCTAAACCTAATCAAGTTTGTAAGATAGAAAAACCACTTTATGGATTAAAGCAGGCGAGTAGACAATGGTATGCACGTCTTAGCTCTGCTTTAATCTCCATAGGGTATAAGCAATCTGAAGCAGATTACTCACTGCTTACCAAAACTGGTACAGATTCTTTCACGGCTCTTTTGATATAAGTTGATGATATTGTGTTAACAGGAAACAACATGGAGGAAATAGCTTTTGTTAAGAGATTCCTTGATTCTGAATTTAAAGTCAAGGATCTAGGAAAGTTACATTTCTTTCTTGGATTGGAAATTTTGAGAACAGAAGACAGATTGGTTCTGAACCAACGAAAATATGCTCTGGACTTGATAGCAGACGATGGAGTTTTAATAGTTAAGCCATGCTCCACTCCTTTAGAGCTAGGGATCAAATTAGATAGTGAAAGTGGAATGATCTATGATGATCCAGCTAGATATCGAAGATTGGTTGGTAGGTTGTTATATCTAACAACAACAAGACCAGGCATCAGTCATGCCGTTCAACAACTTAGCCAATATGTATCTAGCCCCACAGATTTGCATATGAAGGCAGCCTTAGGTGTGCTCAAATACCTCAAAGGAGCACCTGGAAATGGATTATTCTATCCATTCAAAAACAATCTGACACCTACTGGCTTCGCTGACTCTGATTGGGCTACCTGTTCTGATACAAGAAGGTCCATTACAAGGTTTTGTGTGTTCCTTGGTGATTCCTTAATGAGCTGGAAATCCAAGAAGCAGACTACCATCTCTAGATCTTCCTCCGAAGCTGAATACAGGGCATTTGCAGCCTTGACTTGAGAGTTACAATGGATACGATATATATTAAAGGATCTTAATGTGGAAACTGACAAATCATTTTCGATTTACTGTGATAACAAGTCAACAATTTACTTAGCTCATAACTCAAGTTTCCACGAAAGAACAAAACACATTGAAATAGATTGTCATCTAATTCGTGAGAAAATTAATCTGGGATTGATTCATCTACTCCCTGTTAGTTCTTCAGCCCAACTTGCAAATCCTTTCACCAAAAGCTTATCTCCAGGTCCTTTCAAGGCTTTTATTGGCAAGTTAGGATTAGTGAATATTCACCATCCAACTTGAGGGGGGATGTTACCTGTATTTTTATATTAGTTTCCTGTGTATTAGTTTGTTAGTTAGTTAGCCACGTGGCTCTGACGTGTATTACTTTGTTATTAAGTTAAGTCTTTTGGTTTGTTAGTTAGTTAGACATGTTTTCTATCAGCTTGTATTCTGGCTGAAGTATATAATGTATATTTTTAGTTCATTTCATTATTCATTGAATTCAATACATCAGATAGCATATTTTTCAGATCATGATTCTCTCTTTCGGATTCTTAAGCTCCTTGGGTTCTGATAATCTCATGAATAGTGTTTTTTTGCCAGGTATTTTGTACCGCTGTTTAAGCAACTGGTAGAGTCCAGAACAAAAAAAAATTTAATGAAAATAAGTTCAGAAAAATAAAATTATGTCTGTAGCTTTAAGTTAGTTCCGGGTAAATTTAAGTGAAATTAAATGAGAGGAAAAAAATCGATAAAAGATTACATAACATTATAAACTTAAGTTTCTTCCTAAGGTTACTATTCACATCACACCCACCTCGTCTCTCTCTCTCTCTCTCTCTCTCTCTCTCTCTCTCTCGTGACAACACCCTCTTCCATGGAAGCTTGGCTTCAAGCTTTTCTTTCCTTGATTTCTCACTCATTTAGCAACCTAAACACAAAGTGCCACACATGAAAGTTTAAGTAGAAATCATTGTGAATCCATTCCACCCATTTTTTTGGGCTGAAAAGACTTGTGTGAGGAGCTCTCTCCTTCTCAAATTTCGGTTACTATTCATCCTAGAGAGAAAAGTGGATTTTTGGGTGGAACCAAGCTTGGGTTTTGTTCTCCAAGCCTTGTATAGGTGATTTGAGGTAGAAGATCCTCATTCCAATGGTTTAAATGTCATGATTTAAGCTTTGAATATTATAAGCATATGTTGTAAAAAAAATTGAAGTTGGAAATTTGAAATTTACGATGGATTAATGTTGTTAATGAAGTTAGGATGTGAAATAAGTATGAACATGTGTTTAAAGTTTGAAAAATTCCCTTGAATCCCTCCCACTAGGTTCAACCATAGTGTAAAAAATTAGGGTTTAATGTTCAAAAAATAATTGAACACTTTGTGAAGGTTTATATGTATATGTAAGTTGTGAATTGAGTAGATTGATTGAATGACGCTTAGTGGTGTCTTATTTTTTGAGGCATAAATGGATGAATTAATGTGTAAAAAGGGTTTTATTACCTAATGATGATTATGGTTGTATGATAAGCTTGAATTTGATGAACTACAGTATTGGAATCATGAAATTGGCATGATTTCCTTTATGTGCCTATTAGGTATTTACAAAGAAAGTATGTTTTTAGAGTGCATGTTTGTGCTAATGAGTACTTATACGGCATAAGGTATAATACCCCAAACTTAAGCATTTAATTGATTAATTTTAATTAAATAATCAAGCATGTTTTAGTGAGTAAAATTAAGTATAGGGCTTAATTAAATGAATTTGAGTCACTTTGGAGTTAAAAAGTGTACTCAGTGGAAATTAAGGGGTATAAATGGGTACTGGCGAAAATGCCCAAAATATAAAAATATAAATATAAATATTCCTAGAATAATATTCCAGACTTTTGGGTAAAGTTTGGTAATTAATGGAGTTGAATAGATAGATGAACTAATACCCACATGTTACCACTTAACTTATGTTAAGTGATAAAACAAGAAAGAAACCCAAACCCCCCCAAGAAACCGTCGACAGAAAGAAAAGAAGGGGAAATGAGAAGAAGGAGAAAGGAGGGAGAAGGAAAGGAGGAAGAGAGAGAGCTATTCTCAACCGATTGGAGCGATTCAAAAGCCTAAATCACTTAGAATCTCGCCCTCATCATTAATCCTAGCTTAGTTCTTAGTGGGGAGCTTTGTGTGGTGAGATATTTCCCCTCAAAAATTCGGCCCTTTGGAGAAATTGAGGTGTTTGAGAGCTTCAACCTTCATTGAAGCTTGAGGTGCCATCAATCCTTGGTTGTGTGACCATTGGTGGTAAGATTCTAACCCTTGAACCTTGTTTTCTTGGAAAATTTCATGGTTAGGGTTTAATGAATAGTGTTTTAGGGTTTTTATGAAATGTTGAGTAGATTGGCTATGTTCAAGGAAGAATGAGGCTTAGAGTATGTTGTGAAAAATGCTAGGAATGACATTTAATCGGTATAAATGAGTTTATAGTGTTATTTTAGTATGCTTTGATGTTTTGAGAAATCTAGGCTTGGAACTATGGATTTCCTTGCATTGTTAGCATTGTTTGATTGTATTCCTTGTGTTGATAGGATTGAGGCAATAGGACCAAGTGGAGTGACCAACCCTTGGGGTTGTGTGCAATTGAGGAAAGCTCAAGAGCAAGGTAAACCTTTGGACCTTGTGGTTGATCCCATTGAGTGTTCCACCATACTCCGTTGAGGAGAAATGGTTTATGAGATGTGATATGTAATTATGATTGTAATTGTATGCTCATGCATTGATTCATGCATTGATACATGTTATGATTGATTGATGATTATTGGTTGATGTTTGATTGTTTAAGAGTAATTGAGGAATGATTATAGAAGTAGCAATAATGAATGAGGTAATGGTTGAGGATTGTGATTGAGGTTATGAGTGATAGTATTATGATGAGGATGATTGATAGGAACTTCCCTTGGAAACAGCCCTATGTGGATCTCCATGTGGTTAGAGCCTAAGAGGAACAGCCCTATGTGGATCCCTCTTGGAGGTTCCTAGATTGAGGAAAGGACTTCCCTTGGAAACAGCCCTAGGTGGATCTCCATGTGGTAAGAGCCTAAGAGAAACAGCCCTTTGAGGATCTCTCTTGGAATAGATTGAGGAAAGGACTTCCCTTGGAAACAACCCTATATGGATCTCCATGTGGTAAGAGCCTAAGAGAAACAGCCCATAGTGGATCTCTCTTGGAAGTCCATGTGATGCTTGTGGATAAGAATGTGTTAAGCTATTATGATTATGTGTACATCAAAGTGAACCTTAGGGTGGAGTGATCTCCAAGGACCTCTGGTTTACTGTGATATATTCGTATATCTCACCCCGTGTTGTGGGGCATCATTTCAGGTACTGATAGAGGTGAGGTTGATCGAGGCAAGAAGCGTGAGTAGACTGTACCTGATAGCTGGACATGTTGAGTTGCATGCCATTTAGCATTGCTATATGTATATTTTGATGCCACATGATGTATTTTGGAGGACTTAGTGCATGATCATTGTAGTAGTAATGGGTATCTGATACATGGTTACTTGCTTTGATCATGTTCATTTTGTAGCTAAGTCCTTTGGCATGTATATGAGATTTGTAATTAAGACATGATATAATATTGCAAGTAATGAAGATATTTGTGTATGATGCTTACTGTAAGTTAAATGCATGAATGTATTTTTATGTATTGGATATGTTGAGCTGGAAAGTCAATTAGGTACCTTGTGCTAAGTTGGGAAACGTTGAGAAAACAAAGGTTATGCTGCCCAATTTCTGTTAAATCAATGATGAGAGGATGAGAGTTAAGCAATGATATAAGGATATCGCAAGCTTGTTAAATAGGTTGTAAAATGTGTAAGATTGATTCCCCAAGGAAGATAGATGAAAAATATGAGTATAGGAAATTGCCCAGAAGAGGGGGCTTAAGCCTGCAAATGGAGGCTTAAGCCTGCTCAGGGGGCTTAAGCGCCCTGATGCACCTGTGAAGACCAAAAGCTTTCTGCCGCCTGGGGCTTTAGCGCCCAAAATGGGGGCTTAAGCGCCCAGGTAGCGCGCTTAAGCGCCCTGGAGCGAGCTTAAGCGCCCTTGGTGGCTAAAAAATGTAAATTCCCTCTGTCTGTGGGCGCTTAAGCGCCCTGGAGCGCGCTTAAGCACCCTGCCCGCGTAGTTTTTCAGCATACACCTGAGTTAGTAAAATTGTCATAACTTGAGCTACAGAGCTCCAAATGAGGAGCGGTTTGAAACCACGCGTAGCTAACGAAGAAATCTACAATATAGTAGAAGTTGGGAAATAAATAAGAAGTAAATTAATGGTTTAAAAATGGAATAAGAACATGATGTTAAGCTTGGTTTATCTGATTCCGCAAAGTAATATGGTTATGATCACGCAATTGGGCATTATAAATTTGGCATGTTTTAAAATGAAAAATTTAACCGGATTTTAATTGAACCCATGTGATTGTAACTGCGCTTAATATCATAATGCGATGTTAACAAACCGGTTCTAGAACGGGGTGTTACATAAGGACTATATAATTAGATGTTTAAATCTTTGGTTGGGTTAGATAAAAAGAAAAATGAGTAAGTTCCTTCTTTAGACCTTATATGTGATTATGGCCATTTTCAAAGGAAGTATGTGTCAGGAGTTACTGTTTTGCAAAGCGAGCATACTTTTATGCGTGAAATAATATTCTAAGGTGTATGAATCTTTGCTTTGATGAAATAAAAAAGAAAATAAGGTAGCTCCTTTGTATGACCTTAAAATGAGTTTTGGCTATTTTCGAAGGAGGTATACGTTTGGAGTTACTGTTTCGCCAAGTGAGAACACTTTTATGCGCAAAATAATTTATATAGGTGGCTAAGCTTGAGTTTAGGCACTAGACAAAGAGAAATCTTATATCTCCTTTGTAATGGGCACTCTGCCTTAAATTGAGAAAAATAGGCTTTTAGGTGCTAAGAGGAGTAATGAGTGTTATAAAG